TGTGTGTGTGTGTGTGTTGGTGGTGAAGGACAGATCCTCCGACCCTGGATGCGTTCATTATGGACAAAGCCCTGTTGGACTTTGAGGTCTCGATCGACGCTGACTGCAAACTGCTCACCGTGGGGAAACCGTTCGCCATCGAAGGTGTGCACACATTTTTCTTTAAAATTATCTTATAACTAATTTGATTTGACTTTTCTTGATAGGATGTGACTTTTAACATTTTTATACCATCAAGTCTGTCTCTTTATTTCCTCCTTTTCTTTCCCCTGTAAATCAAAAAGAGCTTTCTTCTTCACTCAAACCACTGTATGTCTAACACAGACATTTACTCCAACTTTAAGCCAAATATAACTTTATTCTCAACCATAAAACCGAGCCTGAATGCCCTGAAATAGACTGAGCCATTGGTGACCTTTGTTTTTGGTGAATTCCAACAATCTGGGTATATGAACAGATCCCTGTCATCATCATCATCATCATCATCACCATCAAATACACACACTTATACTGGTTCGCACACTTGTGCAATCACTCACACACTGAAGCCCCCGTTCCACTGGTCAAACAAACTAACACCCACTAACATCAGGCTTATGTCTGCAGTGGTAATGTACAGTCGGCTATGCTCAGCAGTGATGGAAACATGACACCTGGGTGATGGTGTTCATTTCTTCTTTTTTATTTTGACAGTCTAGATGTTGCACCATCTAGACTGCGGTATAAAGTTATGATGCACATTAAACCTCTGGGCGTTGATATGTAAATAGCTATGAACGTTTGTGTGCTTTTTTTAAATCTTCTGTATCTTTCTGCGTGTTTCTGACGTTGGAATGGAAAAGGACTTACCACACATGGGTTTACCCGCATTTTTAAAAACTTGCTAATTTGGGTGTAAAGCTTCTAGAAAGATGATACCTGCTCAGAGATGAACATACACTGTGCGAGTCCACAGCCTCTTTCTCATGCAGCAGAGACAAACACACTCGCAGTGTATAGATCGGAGAGGAGATCAAACACTGTAGTTAGCTACATGACTGACAGAACAACACAGTGATTCACTGCGTGAACCTTAGGCTGCAGGGTAGAAGTAGTCATCTATTATTAACCACCGTGCCCAGTCAGAACACTTTGGTCTCAAACCTCACAGGTTGGATCAACTACAACACCGTCATGATGCATACAGTAAAATCCACTGGGTCATCATGTTCAGGTTCTTGTGCATTGGTTGATCAAGGCAGGGGTTCCCCTACAATATGAGCAGATCAGCATATTTGCATGCAAACTATGCCAAATATTGTATTGGCTTTAATTTTAGACCATTTTCTCTGAAAGTACAGAGGTAAGTGTTGATTCAATACAACAGATATTCTCTTTGAATGGAGAGAGCAGCAGTGTAATATGGTCTTTTGCACTCAGGGTTGTTTGTAGCCTTATTGTTGCTGGGTTTTCAACTCCATTTATACTGAGTCTTTCGGAGGTTAATCAACCTTGAAAGTGTTTTGTTAGTTTCTGAGGGCTGGTGTGACTTGTTCCGCAGCCACAGAGGAAATAATATTCTATAAATAATAAAGCTTAGCCTTTTGAAGTTATAAAAAATTAACAAAATATATGCTCCTTGTACTCTCACCTCACAAGTTCTTGGTTCGAATCCCAATTTGGCCGGAGACTTCCTGTGTGGAGATTGCATGTTCTCTTCGACTCTATGTGTGTATTCTCCAGCTTCCTCCCAAAGCACTAAGACATGTAAATTGGTCTAAGGTTTAATTAGAGACTTTAAATTGTCTGTAGATGTTAATGAGTGTGAATGGTTGATTGTCTTTGTGATAAGCTAGCAACCTGTCCAGGGTGAACCCCGCCTCTCGCCCAATGTCAGTTGGGATTGGTTCCAGCTCCCCCCACGACCCTCAAAGGATAAGGGGTATAAATAATGGATGAATGGATGATGGTCGACATGGGACATGCTGTCCCATACCTACCGGCTACAGGCACAATACTTTGCTCACTCCGACATGAAATCCTTAACGTAACAGGAAAACCTAATTGCAGGCTGCATCACTACAGTATTGATCTTGTTAGTCAATAAGTCAGTAGGTCAATAAGATCGTATTTCATTCTCTACCAGTTTTTTCATCTTTATGTCATTATATTTTAACAGCCAACAAACTACCAGTAATAAATCATGTTTTTTGATTAAGTAATTGCATCATACAACTTCTACAGGCAGATGAATACATAATTATTCTTACCTTGCATTATTTCAGCTGTAGTTGCAACTCTGATGACAGTAATAACAGTAGAAGTTGTAGTTTCCATAATTGATGTGTGTATTCTACGGACTCATAAGAATAGATTTGACTCGTGGGAGTTTTTATTACAGAGCAGCAGTAAATTGTGTCAGTGTTAGAAATAAAGGCTGCTGACAATCTGTCAGAAGAAATTATACCCTGCCCTAATAAAAGACCGGGGCCCCCTTTCATTGAGGTAAATAAAAAGGTTCCAGCCATTATGAGAAGTTTTACAGTTTTCCAGTCACATGCCATCTGCACATATTCGCTTCTGAAGGTGACATTGTGGTGATTCAAGCGTTTAACCTCCAACACAAAGCTCTTCTACAGGTATAAAAAAAATAGTGTGTCTACTAATGCTTGTGATTCAAAGTGCTTTTATATTCACTAATGCAGTCGTGCCTGCTGTAAACATGCCTGCTGTGGTGATGCTGGTTGCTGCTTTCTTTCTGAAACAGTAGAGCTGCTCACCTCTTCATTCAAACCCTGGTGAATCTCGAGAACCCCGAACTGGAAAATCAATCCTTTGGGTCGTGAACACACCCATGACAATTCACTTAAGTGTATGAATCCCAGTGGCCGCTGCTACAGAGCTGTGGTACGAGGTGTGCGAATCACACCAAATTTAACATGGTGCTTCTTTGGGCCCTTGAAAATACACATCCTGAGTGTGAAGCTGATGAGATGAACGGTCCTGAGATATGAGAGTCACAGACAAGCAAACAGATTTCTGGGAATAAGATATAGATAGATGCACACATGTGTGCACTTCTTGTGATATTTGTTTCAATTCAGTCTTTTCTCCTTATATTACTGAGACGTGCACGCTGATTTAAAAACAGTGAACAGATACTAAAGGTGCCATATTGTAGTGGTACATTTACTGGTCAAGTTTAACAGCTGTATTGAAAATAATTATCTAAAGCACTTTAAGTGATGAGTTTATGAATATGCTGTTTTGTACTAAATGAATGGTTCTCAGCGTTAGTCACTCGTGAACTCTGACAGAAAAAGCACATTGTTACGTGGACTCTTTTCAAACTTCAGAGTCGGAGTCCAGTCTGACAAAAAACAAGTTTGAGTGCTAAGAAAAACAACTGTGTCAACCAACACAAAACAATATCAATCATCCAGTGACGAGAAAACCTCCACAGCAGCAGTCTGTGTGAGCCTGAACCAGAGTCCAGTCCCAAAGTCCGCTCCACAGTTTCATAAGGCCCAGTTCATTCCAGTTCAGGTAAAGCACAGACAAGAGAAGTGACAGAAATCCACTCCGGGTTTTACCCCCAAACATAAACAGGAAGTCACAGTTGAACAGAAGTAAACGCGTCACTGCGCAGCTCAGAGAAATCAGACAGGAAGTGGGACTCACGGTTCTGTCGGTCGGAGTGGTCCAGTCCTGGAAGTACACAATCCTCCGGAGGGAACCGACACCAGAGACGATCCGCCCGGTTCGGTTGTCGCGATTCGGACTGATGACGCTAAAAGACGCCGACGGTGGAGACTGGCTCGTTTTGATTGGTTGGATTCATAATGCGCGCGTTGCTGCGCACTCATGATTGGACAGCGGCGGATTGTGGGCGTTTTCTGTGGGTGTGGAAACGCCCGTGAAGGAAGTTGTGGAAGTTCACGTGGATGAGCTCCAGACAAGAGAATGACAGATTCTGATCGTCACGACACACTCTGTTAATATTTTAAGACAGAATCCTAAAATCATATTTTGACGCAAATCGTAAACATGTCTAAAAAAAAAAAATGGGGAGACGATGTAGCATTCGTTGAAACAGAATTATAAACCAAGGAATTATTAAAAAGTACAGTTCTCATGGTTTTAGGGTTCTCTGAGACTATTATAACGTCAGTATCGTCCTTCAGCTCCATTTTAAAAACACAGTATAAGAGGCCACATTCTTCGTCGTAGACCGATTGCGTCACAGCGGCGACTACACTTTCCCAATTCCATGGCTCCTCCAAATGCGTCAAATGTGTCCTTCAAGCCCCGAGGCTCCACCCGGTGGATCCTTCCCAGCCTTGCGTATCCCATTATTCATTGCCCTTCAGTGTAAAACTGTTTTTCAAAGAGGTCATGGTGACAAAAAGCAAAGCGAAAAAGTCATAATTTTTTCACACATCTTTTCAACGTTTTTAATTAAACCAAATAACTTTTTTATCCATAGCTCAGTTGCTTGGCAATGCCTGATAGGGCGGGACTAGCTGGTGACGTAATAGGAAGACCAGACCGCCTCGTCTCTGTTGTGCTGACGCAGCCTGATGAAGGATGCAGCTGTTGTCGGCCGCCTAGAGCGGGTCCTCCGGAGGATGCGGCCCTGAATCGAGACACCCCCACTACTCGTGGCACAACTGTCGCCCACTGGAGATTATCTGCTGCTCTCCTGAATGTACACGACAGAACAAGTCGAGGGACCGCGCTGGCATTACTCACGACTGTGCAGATGAGAAAGCAGGTCTCATTGGAATGGAGAGTGGGTCAGTTTGATGATTACTTGATTCAGAGTCTACATGAAAAACTAGGCGAAAAATCCACACAGCCTTTGTTAGCTATTCAGCCCCACGGTCTGTGAGAGGAGACGAATGAGGAAGGGAGTGAATAACTCAATGAACCAAAATAAGGTGGAGAAAGAAAGAGCAGGAAATGGCCCAGGCAGGAAATGTGAGAAGAAAACATAGGAGGTGGGGGGGGAAGAGAGAGGATGGAATATGAGATGAAAAAAGTAACAGAAAGAACAACACAGGTAAAGAAAGGGTTGGTGCACAAGGGGGTGAGCGAGGTGGGAGTTGAGCACAAGAAGGAGATAGAGGGCTTTCATTTGCCCACTGCCAGTTTGCGCCTTTCTG